ACTCGCTGCATGAAAGAATAGAATTAAATGCAGATAGATTTCTGATCGTGTAGATATACAACTTAATTTTAAAGATTATTCTTGAATGTAGATAGATAGATAGATACTCTTTATTGTTTCCTCCAAAAGATTACAACAGTAAACCTATTATAAATATAAATAATTACAAGAAATAATCACTATAAGAAAACAATGGGCGACCTTATCGCTAAAAGCGATCTCTTCCAGGCAACCTTTGGATGGAAAGGAGTAATTATAAACTGTATATCACATTTATGCTATTTTTTTATTATATTTATTTCACTTTTATTGACCTTTATGGTCAATAATAGAATAGAAGTTAGCGCGACAAATCGGTTATTTATATTTATAATCTCACAAATAAAATACTAAGATAAATATTTATATACTATATTTTAAGCTATACTAAAATAATATAATGTTATAAGAGATTTTTTTCTTATAACGGAATTAAATTATCACAAAGAAATTGTACTATTTTCTTTCTACATTTGGCGTTCGAAAAGATAAATAGATTGTCCACAATTGATCACGATTCGGCAGAAAATATAATTTAGACAAAACGCTATTATTGGACTTAAGTTCGACAGTATGCTGCCAAAATATAAAAGAAAAAGTTTAGTATAGATATAGTTATATTAAGATGTTATTGGAGTTGACAATAAAGGGTATTTATTGTTTATTACGTCTTGTGGTTACGGCATAGAATGGGCTACCCCTTCCCTTCCCGTGGGTGTCATAAAAGGCGGTTAAGGGAAGTTAATGGTCGAGGGATGGGCAGCAGCGTCCCTTTTAAAACATTAGCAAAGCCTAACTGCGGTTGCTAACTAGCAAAACTCCCCTTATAGAGGAGGCTTATGTTGAACAGTGGAAGGTTAACAAAAAAATGTTAAATTCCACTAGTAGAACACTCTCTTAATAGAAAGAACACAAATGATTTCAATTACAACCTTTTTTTTATACAACTTAGAATGGCAAACAAGCTGACGGCCCACCTGGTGGAAAGTGGTAACCGTTGCCTATAGACATGAACAGTACCATGGACATAGCAGAGTATACTATTTCACCCATGATACCCCCCATACGTTGCCATTCCTGAGGACTCGGGTGTTATAGCTCTGTACCCAGTAAATTCACGCCATATCCCACCCTTCAAACCGAAACACAGCCATGCAAACACTACTGCTTCACGGTTGAAACACGAATGGGACAGAGGTATCCAAGCAATCGACTTTTGTATAAAGTCTCCCTCTAGTAGTATATATATAATCATTTCAATACAGTTTGCATGACCGACCATTCATAAATAAAGACCGCATCATAAAAATGAGCTAATAAATTATCGCCTACTAAATACCGGGGTTTCATCAGAACTGTACTGTTTCACATGACAGTTTGCCGGAAGGCATAAAATGTAAAACAAAATATTACTGAAAAACAAAAACAATTCCTGAGAATAACGACGCGATCATGAAATATGCAGAGTGACCTCGGCAGTGCTTTATTTTTATTGGGATAAAACGAACAGCCGACCGCATTTGGGTCGGGAAGGTAGACTGGAGCAAACCACTAATGTCCCTGTGTGTTTATCTTTTTGCCATTCTACTCCCAGTAGGTTTCCCATTCTATTAAAATTATGAATGTGAAAGGTTGTAAAGATATTTGTACGTTAACATATATGTTGTTTCTAAATTATTTAATTACGTTTTTAATATAAATAGTAAATAGGCGCGTAAATATTACGTGAGCAATAATACTTCCATATAAGTTTAAATAAAATTAAGTCCTAACCGAAGGACTTCCCGTCGCTCCGTCAAAATCAGCATTGTAGCTCGTCGGATGCTACATAACGTTGAGCGGGGACTATTTTGGCCAACATTACTTAACACCTTTACTTCCTCTACATGTTATGTATGAACTCTGTATGAAGCTTCTTTGTAAGTCCAAAAATATTTCCTATTCAGGAAAGTTTATTCAAAGTATGTATTGTCATTATAAATCACATTTATAGAGTGGGTGAGTAATTGTTAATAATGGGGTTCAATTTCCCTCGACCTCCTCGCGGTCTTTTTTGGAAACCAGCATGCTTAATTCTAAGTAAATTCATTACAGTTGGCTAACTGATCTATCTGCTTTTGCATCCTTATCAATCATCTCTCACTGGTAGTCGCCCAGCGTATACCACTAGTGTAGGCGGGGATACCATTCCATTATCGTCACTTAAAAAAAAAATACTTATACATAAGGTATTTGAATGAAATGTGGTAAATAGATATATAATAAAATAAGATACATAATACGATACGTACATTCATACATACATACATATCTGTCATGCCTGTCTCCCATTAGGGTAGGCAGAAACAATGGAACGCCAAATGCTTCGATTCAAACAAACCTTCGCTTCTTTCACATTTATCAATCTTTTCATACACGCTCGCCGGTTAATACGATACGTATTATTGCAAAAATAATCACAAAATAAACAATAAGGTTGAAATGAATATTTGTTAAGTAATATTATAAGTAAGTAAGCTAGTACTCATATTTCATTAAAGAGCAATGTAACTTAATAAGCCAGAATTGAATTTCTCCCGGTAAACTTTTTCTTTTGTTGTAAACAAAAACCCGAAACGCTGTACACTGATATACATATAAAATAAAAAAAAATATTTTATACAGCTTAGTATGGCAAACAAGTTTTTTTTTATATAACACAGTGAGCAAACGGGCATGCGGCTCACCTGATGTGAAATGACTACCCCCGCTTATGATCACCCGCAACACCAGAAATATTGCAGGTGTGCTATCGGCTTTTTAAAAAAGAATATGCTCTTTTCTTGAAGGTTATGTTATGAAGTTCACAGTTAACCTGATAGAGTGGTAATCATCCACTATAGACGTGAAAAGAAACTTGGATATTACAAAATACACTGTGACACCTGCAATTGCAAATTCCAGAAGTAAATAGCCCCCAGTCGTTTGGCTCGGTACCGTTCCCTATGGTTTATAATGGTCAATAGGGGAGGCCTATTCTCAACAATGGATGATTAACGGCTGATATGTTAGTAATGGAAACTGAGAATCCCATTGCTAGCAATATACCCAACCAGGTCGACCTCCTCGCGGTTCTCCCTTGAAACTATCATGGTTAATTCCTGATGAACTCATCATGATGGGCTAATTGGCCTGTTTTCATTCTCATCTATCACCCTTCACTGGTGCTCCGCCAGCGTATCCCGTTAGCGCAGGCGGAGTTACCATACCATTTTTACCCATCAAAAAAAAAAGGCTGATATGATTGTTATACTATATCATTATATTTTATACAAATACATATTGTTATTTACTAATACTATTAATAGATAGTCAATTAATTGTTGTTGACGTTGTTATAATTCAATTATTAAATGTTAGTATATTTATTTTAATAAATACAATACAATATTTTATAGTACAATGTTAATAAAATATTGTCACGTAAATGCTAATTAAATTTTCGGAATGTCAATTGTTTCAAATTTGAATTTAAGTATTGTAATTGATTCGATCATGTTTCCGTTATATATTTTTTGTATTTATAATTTTTGGAGAGGGCAGTAATATAGAATAGACTGGCTTGCATTCATTCCTGCTTTAATTTTTGCCGAGGGAACACGTATTAAACCCACGTATTCAAGATTAAAAATATCTTTAATTTTGATAATAGCCGGTAAATAATCTTCCAGCCATGATATTGATAATAATCATCACTGTGACACTTACAGTGTCTCTAATGCGTTGCCATTCTAACATGGACTAATTAGACACATAAATAATTAAGTAGGTATAACTTGTATTTGAAATTATATTTCATTGTAATATTTTGATAAAATAAACCATAAATAATAATAGGAGTTGTCTTAAATGTAATTAATAGATACGAGTATTTATATAATAATTAATTTAAAGAAATTTAATATTGTAATACATTGGAATATTAATATAATTATTTCATTAATGTTTATGTAAATTAATATTTTGGTGATTGATAGACACTTCTAAGCTTTGTATGCTATTGTATACGGCGAAATAATAATAATAATAATTTTTATTATTCCACCACAACCATATTATACACTAATTAGCAATATATTAAACATTAAAAAATAAATTATAACATTTAATTATATAACTAACATAATCAATATCATCATCATCATATCGGCCCTTAACCGTCCACTGCTGAACATTGGCTTCCCCTTGGGGGGTTTCGCCAGTTAAAATTATATAATATATATTATAACTTTGTTTTTGGCAAATAAAAAATATTTATATTACTAAACAAACATACGTTTTTTGCTATTTCTTATGTCGTTATTAATATAAAATCAAGTTTATTCCAATTAATTGTTACGGAATTTGGTATACATGTAATATTTGGAATGAAGATGGGCCACTTTGTATCCTAGTCAATCAACATTAATCCGGTAACAAACTAGTTATAAAAAACTAGTTTATATATATATATATATTTTAAAGTACTTTATAAATATCTTCAAATAAATCCTATTATCATTACAAATGCGAAAGTTAATGAATATGTATGGATGTTGGACTAAACCTATTGAACTTAACTAAGTTGACAAGAGTAATGAAATTTAGTACACGGACTGAGGGGGTAAGGGATTATTATTGATGCGGACTACCAATCCCATTGCTAGCAATAAACCCAGTTAGGTCGACCTCCACGTGATACTCCCTGTAAACAATCGTGCTGAATTCCAGGTGAATTCATCACGATGGGCTAACTGACGTGCTTTTATCCTCACCTTCTATCCCGCAGTGGTGCCCCACCTGCGTATACCGTTAGTGCAGAGGAGATAATCATTCCATTATAATCCATTAAAAAAAAGGTACACGGATTTACATGATTGATATATACGGGCAAATCCGCGGGAAACATTTATTTTTATTATTTTATTAGCATTATTACTCACCAAAAGATATGAGGCCGCTGTTCAGCATAGTGAGCTTGATGCTGTTCGGTATAGACACAAGACTCGTTGTGCCCGACGTGCGCATATCTTTCTTCTTCGGCTTCTTCTCCATGTCGTACCTGGTGGTGGACCGCGACCGGTGTTTCCTTTGGCTGGTCGCTACCGACGTACCTCGCTGCCCGGTCCGCGACGACATTTCGACCAAACGATTATAACTCCACCAATTTAAATACCACACAACGGAACCTTAATTCCTTTACTAACACATATCCACTTAAACAACACCGATTATTACATACCAGCACAATTCACTTTTAATACAAAAATTGGTATCACTAGAAGCGTTTAAAAATAGCCCTAATTATTTATAATTAGTAAGCGTAATAATAACTTTATATCAAAACATTAATATATACACTTTGTACAATTCGACGCGTTCGCTGCTGATGGTAACATGTAAGGGAGTTATGATTTTAGTTTATATATCATAATAATACTGTCATGTTGTTTAGTTTGTTTGTGCTCTGCGCAGACGCCACCTGTAACAAAGGAAAAGATTGTAAGAAAACGGTGAAACCTATAGAAAACAAAGCGACAAATTAACAAACAAAATGTGATGATTGATCAAGAAGATATTTCATTTCGAAATTGAAACGAAAAATTTGGAATTAAAAAGTCCTTTAAAGTTCCAATACTGTATTGAAGTAAATTACCGAAGATCGATTTATTATTTATACAGTACTAGATGTTCCGGTGAAATTTATATCATCTACAACGCCATCTATTAAAAGAAATTCGAAGTAGCGATTCCTATACAAAATTAATTATTTTTAATTTTTAGATTTTGCAGCTCGATTTAAAGTCGATCAAAGTCTGAAAGTGTCCCTCCAAATCCGGATGGATAGTATCTCTACTATTTCAAAATTGTACTGTCACCCAACATTTTTTAAAACAATAGGACACAAATGGATTTTACGGCGGATAGATTGACGACTGGCAATCTGGTAAAAAAATAAAATCAATCAATCAACCTATTAATAGAGGTGATCAATTCTCTGTGGTGCTTCAGGGATTGCTATTAATTCCGTTTTGACTTACTGCTTTAAATACGAGTATTATATACGTATGTTACAAACAATAACTAAAGTAAAATATATTTTGGATTACCCAAATTAAAGTGCAATAAAGAATATATATATATATTTGAACTCCTTTATTTTTTAGTCATAACGCATACATATATATCGTTATATTGCCTATATATATAGTTATCGGTTCTTCGAGTTATGTGACCAACTGACTACCACTTCAGCTTGCTTATTTTTCGAGCTAGGATCATGTTCCACAAAAAAATCTGATTTTAATTGTGGCAAAATAAGTAATTTTAATTTAAAAATTACAGAATCGATTTTTATAGAATTTCTATGAGACCAATCAGACAGTATATCTTTTAAGATAAAAAAAAAGGATTTTCCAAATTGGTATCTTACACTGGAGTTACAAGGTAATAAACATAAAAAAATATATAACCGAATTGAGTGCGCCGTTCTTTTTGAAAATAATTGAAAATTGGCATTCGCATACTATTCATATTTTAAAACTAATAAAATAGACCAACAACCGGAACATTTTGTATACACATTACATCTTAAATATTTAAGTTTAGAACACGGAATGAATGTTTACATTTTAATCCGCAATAATCATGATTATACTTGCACAAAAAGACTGCTTCTTCGATGTTCAGGAAATTAATATGAAATAACACACAATAAACCCGATTGATTAAAAAAAAACAATAATAATAAATAAATATTGACTCAAAGCTGCATACATGAAAAACTACATTTGAATTGAGAACGTGCTTCTTTTTGAACTCCGTGAAAAAATCACAAGAATCCACAGCTGTGAGCAATAAATTTTATATAAGACACTGTTCTAATTTATGTTACATATCACCGGATGATGACAATATGATATACCTACTTGCATATGCACACTTTTAATTACACATACACTTAAGAAATTTTTAAATTATAATAAGAGACAATTACAACGATAATCCGGACCGTACCGAGACGCGCTTCGTTGCAAACTGACTAATTTACCATCTATCAATGGCGGAGATAATGCCAACGACAGACGCCAGTGGCTTCTTGCTACCTTGCCAACAATACACAAATCTTAGTATATACATATAACAGCATAATATTTAAAATTGTTGAGACGGAGGACTTCTGCCACATTTATAGTGTGCTTATTAAAGCATTAAATTCTATTAAGAATTTAATGAAAATTTAAACAAACGAACAATTTGATCCGAACAGTCTGCTGATGTCTAATAGTAGCTGGGAAGGGCTTAATAATAATACGGACTAACAATTACATTGCTGTCAGGACTACCTCCATGTGGTCTCCTCCTGGAAAGTATTATGCTGAATTCCAGGTGTATTCATCACGATGAGCTAACTGACCTGCCTTTTCATTCATTCATTACCTAACATCCTTCACTGGTGCCCCACCAACGTATACCGTTAGTGCAGGCGAGGTTAGCATTCCATTGAATGGATAATCCATTTAAAAATATATTAGTTACATATCTGATTTGCTACTTTTTTATTATACCATGAGGGTGGCAAACAAGCATCCAGCCTGTCTGATGGTAAACGGTCACTGTAGCCTTTGGACAAATGTAACTCTAGAGATATCACGTGTGCATTGCAGTCCTTAATACATTCTTTTTGAACAACTTCATACTATGATGTACCGTACTCTAGGAAAAATCTCTCGTCGACAATGCTCGTAGCCGTCTTTAATTCGAGTCAAGAGAACCAAGCTGGTATTCAGATGCTCCGGCTCACAGTTGAGACCAGTCCTTCATGAGAGGCCGGACTTGCAACTTGTACAATAATAGCCTTTGTCTCGGGCTGAAGTACCGTTTCGTTTTATTAGGCACTCCAAGATACTCAGCACTGTAGAAGCTCTGAACTCTACAATCCTGGAGATATCTAATTTAATTTAATTTAGAGGTGTTCCTGTAATAATTTCAACAAAACTTGGTTACCTTTACATCAGACTATACGTCTTTTGTGAAATTATGCACATGTGATATTTTTACCTTACATTTTTCTTTCCATTTTGCATCGAACATTTCAGTGATCAATCAATTACATAGCATTGAGAATTGATGAATATTTTTGTTTTCACTCCATATTGAATTTTGCACTGTTTTATTTACGTTGCAAGAATAAAATACATTTTTTTTTAACTCAAAAAAAAAAGTTCTTAATTCGATTGTATTTTATGTTTGTTTTTTCTTTTGAAAAGTTCTTTATTTATCATAATTTATTACAAATATATTGATAAATTCCAGTATACGTTAGCCTAGAAGTTACAATCAGCTAATAAACCGTTTGACGAGTAATATGCGTTTATTCAAACATTTAAAAAAGAGATACAAGCATGTAAAATTTTTCACAATTTAAAAAACCTACATTAAGTGATGTAACTCAATAAATATAATAAAAAAAAAGCACAAAATGCATATATTTGTAAATAATGCATTATAACAAAAATCATACATTTAATTTATGTTTACGTTTACCTCATAACTACGTCAGTTATTAATCGATTTGGAATATTATTTTTTTATCTCATGGGATATATATACCAGAGGGGGACTTTGTACAAAAGTCGATTGCTTGGGTACCTCTGTCCCATTTGTGTTTCTACCGTGAAGCAATTGTGTTTTGTCATGGCTGTGTTTCAGTTTGAAGGGTTGGATATGGCGTGAATTTGTAGGGTACAGAGGAATAACATCTGAGTTCTCAGGTATGGCAACGCGTGGGCGAAACAGTATACTCTGTTATGTCCATGGTACTGCTCATGTCTATAGGCGACGGTTACCACTATTCATCAGGTGGGCCGTCAGCTTGTTTGCCATTCTAAGTTGTATAAAAAAAAATGTACAGATAGGTTCTATTATTATTATATAATAATCTATAATTTGTATATTATATTTTATCTGTGCCTCTAAACATGAACTGCACCGTGAACTTTACCGAATACGTTGTGTATACATACATACTTAAAATACATAATTAAAACTATATCTATATATTAATACTATCAATATATTCACGCCAATTCTTACGCAAAGGGAATCGAGTGTCAAAGGTCTTATCCTAACATACCTATATAATTATGTGGCTTCATTAATAACTCGTCTCGTATATATGGCAGTTCTGAGGACCTTAACTACAGAACTGAATAATATATTACCTACTTTGTGCCCTAATTCTGTTCTTAAATACCTACAACGTCTATCGTGATAGCCTTTCTGTATACCTGCATTCACTTTCGTATGGTGCATGTTCTTTCATGTAACATTGGTCCCATATGCCATAACTAACGTAGTAAGTCCATTTTTATCCCCCCATTCTTTAAAAATGTTTGTCCTGTCAGAATACATATTGTATTTAGAAACAATGTTATTTGTGAATTATCGTACAGCCACTGTTTTATTTTATTCTACACATGAGGTTTGTTCTTGTTTTTTTTTTCTTTTATTATTGTTGTTTTTTCTGACCTATCGTTTTGCGCATATTTTTGTATTATATTATATTACCCTAAATGTTAATTTAGGATCTTGATGGACAAAGTGATGCGGTGCTTATTGAAACTCAGAGATTCTGCTTCTGCAGAAACATCAAGTTGAACTGACATCCTTTTTCATTTCCATAACACTGACACCGACTGATTTCAACTAAACTTTATATATAAATGTAAGCTTTTTTTTTAATGTTGTTATTACTTGCAGTCTAAGTAAAGATAAGTGTTATGGATTATTGAAATACATTTTCATTCATTCATTCATTTTATTTGTGCAGAATTACATTATTTACACAAAAAGTAATAAAGTTTCGATTTAGAACGTACGTTGTGTGCATTATCGCGATCCAAGAAAAGTTTCCATCAATTCTCGTTATTGGTTCACTGCAACATTAATCAACTCTACACAAAACAGCTGCAGATAATAAAAAAAAAAAGTTAAACTGACGAGACAGGTGGTATTTACTTTTTTTACAGCAATCTTTTGCGACGTGCTCAATCCCAATTCCATTTGACGATGTGCCAAAATTGTACGTAATATCTAAATTATTCAATGCACTTGTAATCAATGGAATCCTCAATTCTTTTCCGTGGGTGTCGCAAGAGGCGACTAAGGGAACTTAGTAATCGAAGGATGGGCAGCACTTTTCCTTCAAAGCCTAACTGCGATTGTCAAACCATCTACCAAGCGTAGCAAGTACTAATAAAACCCCCCCCCATTGAGGACGCCCATGTTTAGCGGCGGATAGTTAACAGCTGATATGATGGTAAATATATAAATTAATTTACCTCGATCGATTACCATCAATCATTTTAGCCATTAATCTGTTCAATACTGAACTTAACTTTCAGCCATAGACTGCCATAAGAAACAGTCCTTAGCCACCTGTATCCATTGACTTCAAAACAACTGTCGCTTTATCTAGTG